AAATTTCTTGAAAATAAATGTACCATATGAAAAGTTATAGTATGGAAACTTTGATGGTTACTTTGGGATTAAAAGTTCAGTGTAATCCACTGACTCCACAAGGAAAGAGTTAAGTATTTATACTAAGGATTTGTCCATGAATATGTGAAGTCAATATTGACTGCTCCAAGTAAAAAGTGATTTCCATGTTAAGATTACAAATACTTTATTCATCTTATAGTTTCAAATTTTATAATCTCTAAAACCTCTTTAATGAATATCAAGCACATTTTAAAGTAAAAGCTTGTCTGTTAATTTCTCTACACTAACTCAATATGGACTTGGTCATTTTGAAAATTTAACAGACCTTGCAACCACCACAAAAAAAAAATTAAACAGATCTAAATTACCTTTTATTTCTTCTAGAATGACTTAAGATTGAAGCTGAAAACTACAACTATTTATCCTAAATAGCTTAAGGCTCCTAACAGTCTACTCTACATCAAGTTACTGTACTGAATGGTGTAAGACACAAGCTCATGGAGAAATGTTTTTATTATTATTATTGTTCATTTCAAACTTTTACATTTTAGTTACTTTTATAACAAAAAATAAACATAAATAAAAAACAAGAAATTTAGCACTTGCATTTGGCCTCTTATCTTTTGCTGTCAGACCACTGATGAAATTGAAACCTACTAATACACTGAATAATAATGTTTCTTTATTTGAATAATGGATAAAAGAACTAAGAATAATAATAACACACAAAATAACAAAGCTAACAATGTCCAATAACTATCATAATTGTAAAGTCAACTACCCCCCTCAGATAATCTCTTCATGGTGAGCTTTGATGTTACCTCCCTCTTTACAAATATTCCCTTAAATTAAACCATTAACATATGCATATCTGAGCTTTCGCGTAATAATATTCCTCTAAATGGCTTTTCTGAAAATCAAATTAAGACCATGCTGGATCTTACCACTAAAAATTCACATTTCCTGTTCAACAACACCTTGCATGAACAAATAGATGGCA